CAAGAAAATATTTAGAAATTCAAGAAAATATAGAGAAAGATGTCTTTGGATTAAGTTTATAATTACAATGTTATCCTAATCTAGTTAGATTTTTTCATCTAAAATAATTTTGTGATTGGCTTCTAACTGATCTCCTGAATCTCTGCTTTGAGAGAGAAAACACAATAATGTGGTTCTTTGAAAAATATTAGGTAAATTTAAAAGTGTTTTTGTACTCTAAAATGCATCCAATGAAATATTTTCATGATAGTCCTTTTTACATATATATTCCATGAGAGAATAGATCTTTTCATGACTATAGGTTGAGCAGAAACTTCTTTCAGTATTCATTAAAGATACGTAAGTTAAAATGCCACAGGGTAACAGAGAAGTATTCAAAGTTAAAATATTGCAAGGTAACCAAGAATAGAGTATACTTGATTCACTCCTTTGACTCCACAGGGTGAAATTACAAAAATCTTCATGTAACTTTCCTTTTCAGGTACCGTCTATTAATAGTTGACCTGAAGACAAAAGCCTTTGCGCACTATAAATTCTGTCACTCATTTGGGTGCACAAGCATGATGCAGTAAAGCCTGTTATTTGGTGCCTGGGGAAGCAACAGGAAGTAGCAGGAAAAATCAGCTTTGGAACCAGACAAATGGGGGATTTGAATCTTAGGTCCATCATCTACTGGCTTTCTGATCTCGAGCCAAATCACTCAACCTCTCTCAACTGCAGTTTCTTCATTTATAAAATGAGATATAATATCTACCTTATGTAGTTTTGTGAGGATTAGGAATAATGGGTGGGAAGTGCCTGGCAGAGTAGGCATTCAGTAAATGGGAGACAATGTTGTTACTGTAGTGTTGTACTTGTGGCAGCCATCATACTGCATAGGCATCGGCAGTTGATAGCAATGACAGTCATGATTCAGGCACCTCAGACTGAACTGGTCGTGGAGACCAGTTCCTGCATTCTTCCTTCTGATACACATGCCTGTGGTGCATGTAATTAACCCACAATTTCAAAATGTCATCCGTTTCACCATATAAAGTTTAGGAATGGGGCTGTCTGCTCTCTGTTGTGGTCTCGTCTGGTGGTAGCATATACTACAGAAGTGTTGGGGACTATGCTCTAATAAGGCTGTCCTAAATTGTTTCCATTTCTTACAGCCACACAGAATAGGAAATTTTATTAACCCTCATACCTGTATAGCATAGATAACATAATTTAGTTTTCCTACAAGTAAATCAGACACAGTGACTAATATGTATTCTCATTCTGCTTTAGTTAAAGCTTTAGGCCGGGTGCGGTGGCTCACGCCTGTAATCCCAGCACTTTGGGAGGCCGAGGCGGGAGGATCGCTTGAGGCCAAGAGTTCGAGATAACCCTGGGTAACATGGCGAGACCCAGTCTCTAGAAAAAATAAAGTTTTAATAATCTTCCACATACGCTGAGCCTGTTTTTTTTTTCAAATTCTTACCATCCTAATTTTTCCATTATTGAAAAGATAAATGGAATTTCAGTATGTTTGTGTTCAGCTTATCAAACAATTGG